GCCTGGGGGGGCGATTGCGCGACACCTAGATGGAGGAGCGCCGGGGATTTAAATGCCACTGAAACGGCGATCCATCACCGCCGGAGCCGGCAAACTTTCGCAGGAGGCTCAGCCATTGGCTGCCACAGTCACGTGCCCCTCCCCTGGCGCCCTCCGCCCTCCTCACCGTCCCCCCCAGCCCTCCCCTGCGCACTGTACATTCATATCATTTTTCTTCTCCGGTCCCATGGAGGAAGTGAGAAAGTTGGCACGGTCACCCAGGGCGTCGCTGGACCCGGTCACTCAGTGACAGATGGACAATGCAAGAATGAGCTCCTTCCTGGAATACCCCATCCTCAGCGGAGGCGACTCGGGGACCTGCTCTGCGCGAGCCTACCCCGCGGACCATGGGATTACAACTTTCCAGTCGTGCGCGGTCAGTGCCAACAGCTGCGGCGGCGACGACCGCTTCCTAGTGGGCAGGGGGGTGCAGATCAGTCCACCCCACCACCACCACCACCACCACCACCCCCAGCCGGCCAGCTACCAGAGTCCTGGGAACCTGGGAGTGTCCTACTCCCATTCGAGTTGTGGCACGAGCTACGGCGCGCCAAACTTCGGCGCACCGTACAGCCCCTATGCGTTAACCCAGGAAGCAGATGTAAGTGGTGGGTACCCCCCGTGTGCGCCCGCTGTTTACTCTGGAAACCTCTCATCTCCCATGGTCCAGCATCACCACCACCACCAGGGTTATGCTGGGGGCGCGGTGGGCTCGCCTCAGTACATTCACCACTCATACGGACAAGAGCACCAGAGCCTGGCCTTGGCCACCTATAATAACTCCCTGTCCCCTCTCCACGCCAGCCACCAAGAAGCCGGTCGCTCCCCTGCGTCGGAGACATCCTCTCCTGCGCAGACCTTTGACTGGATGAAAGTCAAAAGAAACCCTCCCAAAACAGGTCAGTCTCCATCTACTGCCAGCCCAGTGGGGCCTCCTTGATGATCCTGCAAAGAGCTGGTGTGCTAACTTCGCCCGAGGAGTTTGTTTTAACTATGCTCTTTCAAATAATAATAAACGAGTGCTGTCTGTCCGGGAGATGGCCGGGGTAGGTGTGCAGGGACCAAGTTGCCCCTGGGCCCCCGTGGTGTTTTTTTTTTTTCCGAAGGGGCTGAGTTTGAGATTCCAAAGGTAGTAAGTGAATGCGTGGGCGTTCTGTGGGTCCCTCCAGGCTCCACTCGTCATGGGTCCCACCCAGCTAATGGTGGACTTCAGGTTACCGCCTTACACCTCATCCCTCAGCCTCTCGAGCTGAGCAATTCCCCATGGTCCCTTTCTCTGAAGGTTGCGTGCAGCGTTTAGGGGCTAAATGTCCCTCGTGTCGATTTCATGATTTGTAACCTGTTTTCTCTGCTCGCGTTCCGCCTTCCCCCTCCAGGGAAAGTTGGCGAGTACGGCTACGTGGGCCAGCCCAATGCGGTGCGCACCAATTTCACCACGAAGCAGCTCACGGAGCTGGAGAAGGAATTCCACTTCAACAAGTACCTGACGCGCGCCCGGAGGGTGGAGATCGCCGCGTCCTTGCAGCTCAACGAGACCCAAGTGAAGATCTGGTTCCAGAACCGTCGAATGAAGCAGAAGAAACGGGAGAAGGAGGGCCTCTTGCCCATCTCTCCCGCCACCCCGCCGGGAAGCGAGGAGAAGGCTGAGGAATCCTCGGAGAAGTCCGGCTCCTCGCCCTGCGTTCCCTCCCCAGGGTCTTCTACCTCAGACACTCTGCCTACCTCCCACTGAGGCCGCCCGCCAGCCTGCTCCTCTGGCTGTGCTGCCAACCAAGCACATTCTTAGCTTATCTTCCTGTATGTGTAGTCTCTCTCCTTTTCTGGTCCTGTCCTGGGAGCTCCTGGCTAGGTTCATGGATTTCCACAGTTCTCTGGACTAGAGACTTTGTGGGTAGGGGTGTATGTATGTGTGTGGTAACTCCTGAATTTATTATCAAATTTGAGGTACCCTAAAGGCCCTCCCATTGAAATATTTCCACAGAACCTACTATTCTTTGGGATTCACTTTGCTAGCAGAAACACATCAGAGGTCAGGTGACCTCTTTCGGACCTACCTGCTGTATATTTACAGTCCTCCCCAACCCTGACCTTAAAGGTGATTATATATGTATGTACACATATATACATATATGTGTGTATATACATATACATGTATGTATATACATATATGTATACACACACACACACACATATATATATATATATAGAGAGAGAGAGAGGAGACCAGGAGCTCATGAAGAAGAGCTGCACTATGAGGGTGTTTACACAGTCCATCCCTTAATTTAAATCGAGTTCATGTGTGAGTTTGCTAGTTGTAAATACTTTGTCCCAAGAGATTTATCTTTATACAGATTTTCTAGATGAAGTGTTCGGATGAAGTGACTGAAACAGGGTGGGCAAACTCTCAGAGCTGGTACAATTTTATATGTGACTATAGGTAAAAGGACACACTCTCCTTTGAATGCACTCGGACGCTGCTTCAGAGGGTGGCCTCCATCCTTTTGGGCACCGAGAGAAGAAGCCTGTGACAGAGCCTGGCTTCCCATGCTAAGTCTCTCCAAATCCCGACCTCCTGCATTCTCTGGCCGCTCATCTCCATTTAAAATGTGTGCTGGAGTCTTCTGAACCTCAAGGTGTTATTCAAACCAGCTTCTTCTTCTTCTTGAAGTTATCTTAGCTGGGTCGGATGTATTTTCAGTTCAGTTGTTAATGTGCTGGCTGGGGCAACGAATGTATGTATATTGTGTGTGATTCGTGAATAGTCTTTTGCATGTCGCACAATGTTTTGATTTCCCTGAAGTACCACACTGAGTTCTATCAGTTATTCTTTGTGAGTCTATGGTATTCCCCATCTTCTGTACAATCATGAGCAGCTCTGAGCTCCTGGAGTGATATGCTCAGAGCAGAGTTACGGGTCTTAAGATGTCTGTAATAAATATATTCAAGTTTCAGGTATGCTTCCGTGTCAGTGTATTTGACTGGCCTATACATTTGTTGATTCCCACAGAGTTGATTCATTTCATGGGGCGAAAGAGAGAAGGGTGGTTTGTGTTTCCAAAGAGGTGGTCCATTTCTTGACTAAAAGTGGATGCTTTCCATCATCCTGTAGTGACTCCCCAGGAGTCTTGGACTGCAATTAACCAAAGTCTACTTCATAGGTGGATGTCCTTGACAAGGACAGCAGCTTCCTTATTGGAATCAAAGTTTATAATGGGGGAAAAAAAAGAATGGTGAGGACATTTACAAAGCAGATCTAGTTTTGAAACAAACATGGGTACTTCCTGGGTCAAGTGCTAACCTTTTCACCCCCAACTGAATGTTGACATATATATAAACAGAACTTTCAAAAGCTGAAATGGTCTTCAGCCAGTCTTTCCTCACATCAGTGAACCAAGAGTTAAGAGATGCACATTTAATTAGCTCCAGTATAAAGCGGTTGTGAGGATACAGCTCCCCTCCCCCAGCTCCAACCCCTTCCTTCTTTTTGGATTGTTAGGCTGGCTGTTCCAATATATGCCACCTTTTAGCTCGAATGTGGTCTGTTTTCAGTAAACCCTTGTACCCTGCCCTGCAATTCATCCTGTCAACATCCACCCCTTCCCACGCCCCTCCTCTCCCCCCATGTCGGGGTGATACATCTCCGTCCCTTCAGATTCAAATTTGATTTCATTGCCACCATGGCTGTACTGGGCCCATAGTTCTAATTCCATGCCACTTAACCCAGGGAAAAAATTAGATTTCTTCTCTGGGCTCACTGTATTTTTGGAAGAGGAATTTCCGCCTGTCCCCTAAGCAGTTCCATATCCAACTTGCTTCTGACCAATGCATCTGTCTGCTCTTGAACGAAGAAGCTAGCATTTCAAAGCGTTAAAAGTGGCTTTCTTCCTAAACCTCTTGCCACTTTCACTTTCACACATTGTTTTGAAGCTTTAATTTAGTCCCAAGAGCAGAGACCCCGAAATTCAAAGCATCACAAACAAATACAGGCATAGGATGGTGTTTTATGAATGGCAGGCTAGGAAGAAAAGCCTACAAAAACCGCAGTTTGCAGGCCTGAGATTTCCTGTACTTCCCAGTCAAAGAGGCCCTGTGTCCTTGATATGGCCGCGGTAACTGTGCCTACAGACTCCTTGGGTTCTGGGCTGGGGGTGGGTGGGGGTTGCCTCTAAATGACTCAAGTGGATATAAGAACTTCAAAGGCAGCCACCTCTTTCTTTCATTCCCCCCCACCCCTGCATGGCCTTATACTGTATCTTTTGTTTATTAGTGTAAGATCACAAAGCAAAACAGATGGCCAGTCTCCAAATACTTTAATGTGCTAAAGTGTCATTTGCATGTCACTGTCGTGATTTCAATATCTAAAAGCAGGGCCCGACCGGCTGGAATCCCAGAGATTCCAATCTTCAAGGTGCTGGTTTTAATGTAGCTGAGAGAGGAGAACAATAAATTATGGCGAAACATCCGGAGCCTTCTCTGGCTCGGGAATAAATCAGCTAACAAGCAATGCATTTAGGAAACATTAATACACTTTTCAACAAGGAAAACATTTGTATCTTTTTAGCTGTCCCAATCGATTAAATCAAAGGCGCTTAACACATCCTCTTTCAAGGTCTCTCTTCGTACTGGTTTTATCTCTGAGGGGCACAGAGAGCTCCTTGGCAAAAACAAAACCGCGACAATAGTAACTGAAAGGACAGAGAGGGACCCCAGGAAATACGATTTCTTTGATAATTTGAAAAAGGGTAACAAGGATCTCAATTAGGGACCTAGGATAAGTACAATAGAAAATTCCAGTTTTTTTCCTCATTTCAATTGCATCCATCCGAAGTATTCCCGAAATTCAAGTGCCCCCAAACTCGACTGAGCTGAGGGCTTGCTGCGGTCCTGAAGTTAGGATGGCTCGGGCTTCCCCTTTGAAAGTTTACTTTTGAGGCTGTTCAGATGCCACGGTGTTTTCCTCTGGGGCAATCAGATTCAACCCAATCAATATTTACTCAGTCTGAAAGGGTTGTTGAAAAGGCTGCTAACAACAAACTGCTTAGCTGCTCACCCCTGTTTAATCTCAGGTTCACCGAAAGTTCAAGAAGAGATGAATGCAGTGATGGGTCACTTTAGAATGAGTCCCAGCGGTTTATCTGAGCTCTCTACTAAAGGCAACAATTATAGTTCCATTCTTCTTTGGGGAAGGGGCAACTTTCCTATTATTCTTTTGCTAAACAGTGTTTACTAGAAACTTAAAACACTTTCCTCTCCCCTCCTGGCTTTTTCTTCTTCTTCATCTTCCCCCACCCCCACCCCCGCAATGCCCCCAAGCTTCCAGCTGCTCTTCCCCTGCCCTTTTAGCTTTCTGCCAACCCCTGAGGTTTCATTTGACTTAAAAGAAATTACATTGACTATTTAAAAACGTGTTACATTAATCTGACAGAAGAGATCCGATTTATTTCAGATATCACGAGCTATGAAATGAAGCTCGTTGGGCCATTAGAGTTTATCTTCTTTTTGAAAGTACAGGGCGAGATTGAATTGAAATCCATTTGCGTTTGAGTAATATCGACAATCAGAGCCCCAATAGCCATCTGCGATGGCTGTTCAGGCAGGAATAGAGGGGAAGGTGGGGGTGGGGTTAGCAGCTGCCGAAGTGAAAATACCTCCGATGGAAAGTCAACTTCCTGCGAGGGCCTGAGCTTCTGAAAGATGAAAAAGAAGACCCAAGGAAGCCGGTGGGGAATGGAGGGTAGAAGATGCTGGACACTGAAGCTAATTGCTACAGCTCTCCAGAGGTCAAAGTTCATGTAATCACTGCATAAATGCATACTAAACAGGGATTTATTAAGCTTTTCTGATGACTGAGCACGTCTCCATTGTTTTGTGTTTCTTCCTTAGGAAGAATCATTCTTGAACTCGAAGCATTTGAGTCTGCATGATAGGCTTAGGGTAAACAAGCAACACTTTTCTTTCAACATGGGCGCATGGACAACATCTTTCTTCACATTGGATGAGACTGTAAAAAAAAAAAAAAAAGAGTTCCCATTCTTAGAAATGTTAGTGCTTTTTCAATACACACAGGAACACACGCTAGCATGCCCTGTCTACTCACCGGATGACTCACTTGGGTGACTGTCCCCTGTCCCCCTTGTAGAGCCTACTCCGTGCCTGTATTTCTGAGGGTTCACAGAAGTTTCACCCTGGGACTCCCAATGCCTAGATGCTTAGAACCAGAAGAAACCCATCTGTCTCCTCATCCTCTGATTCTGTGGTTCAGGGAGACAGGCGCCCAAGGCTGGGCTGATCTGACATAGAGGACATAACTGGCTTCAGTATGGTTATTTTTAAAATAAAGCCCAGGGTGGCTCAGTCGAGTGCAGTTCCTAATTCTAAAGTCCAGAGTGGGCTTTCTGCTCTCTTTGTGTCCTACACAGTTCAGATAGTGTTGGGTTTTTGCACTCTGGTTGACTGACTGGTCACCTGCTCAGCCTAGTTCTTGATTTTAAGGCCGTCAGGATTATTGGGTCCTTGAAACAACACCCCCCCTCCCCCAGTTGACGATTTCTTGTGTGTATAGTAAAACGTGGGGCTCCTTTTCTTTAAAGATGTTTGTTCTTAAAACTCAGAGACAAAGTAGGTAAAATCCAATACACAAATGTTTTGTATTTTAAACCTAGAGTAAGGAAGACTAAATGAAAGAGAAACTGCCAGCACCCAAGTTCAACCTCCATTAAATTGTCAAAGATG